TTTTTTGAGAATTCCACATGAAGGCAACATTCCGGCAGATGACGCAGGTGGGAAGACAGACACTCCATGCAGATGGTGGCCAAAAATTATATAAGTAGGACATTATTTTCTACCTTAAAAATGTATTTCAAATAACGTCCGCACGCGCGGACTTTGCGACACCACATGGCGTCATTCGTACCGCTGCCTTTACTATCTGCGACGACATACGTTGTCTTTAGTCGTTTAAAGGTTAATATTCTTTTGTCAATAAATGCATAGCTGAATTGAATGACATAAATTGGATACTGGCTTACAATTTTTACGTCTCATTCTACTAATGGTCTCATGTGTAACATGAACTTGCATTATTACCAAATTGTTTGTGTACATCAGTGTTAAAGTCTTAATGGTGTTCAGTATTTTTTGTGATCAATTTTGTAATGTTTTCTTCAGATATAAATACTAGAGGCCAGCTATCTGATTGAATAGACTCCCAGTTATCCAGTATCCAAGCATATGGAATTCTCATCCATGTGGCAAAAATTTTGAAGACAAATTACATTTTAATAAAGTTACCAAAAACAAATTTGTGATGTGCATATGTTCACCTGCCATATGGCAATTCTTGGAGCCACCACTAGCAGCACTGCCCCTCACCCTCCCTAATAGAGGTAAAGCTATCCCTGTAACAGGCCATGAAGGCCCATAGGGCTGTGAGACATCTGAGACTCCCACATTCTCTAAACAGTCAGCTCAAAGATGGCAGTGAGGTTGTCAGCCTTACGTGGCAGCCACCCATCAATCCAAGGAAGATTCCCAGTACTCATTTCTGTTAGAGGCTGAGTCAACCTCAGGGCCATAGTGCAACTGGAAGAATTAGGTCAAATGAAATATCCAGTGACCTCATTGCGAATCAGGCTTGTAGCATAGTGCCTCAACCAACTATGCTACTACAAGAGGCTAATTATATTTGTGGTCTCATTGTGGCATGTATATATGAAATCTTTCGCCCATTGATCTGCTTTGTCACCTAGAAAGACTTCTGTGAGAGAACCAAAGTGAAAACATGATATAACATGAATGGACAGAGCGTTGTTAGTTAACTAACCGTTAAACACCTTGTGATGGAATACACTCAAGGCAACAATAGCACGGCATTTTCTATGCGGTTGGCGCCATGACCACTGCTATGCGGTGAACACTTCTCTGCAACAATATAGGCTGTTTTCTATGCTTGGTCAGTGCAGAAGCTATATAACGAGATTCCAGAAATAATCAAGGCAGTGTTTTGCATATTTGAGGTTTTAAGTGCCAGTGATAAAATGGAGGATTCAGCAGTTGAGAGAACAAGGACAAGAATGGAGCATGAATTGTGAAGATTAATTGAGAGCGAATCGGAACCAGGAATATAAGAGAATACACGAGGTCAGCCTGTGAGGATTTAGCATGTGATTTGAAGACTTTACATGTGCTATAGTGCAGTGGTATTAGGAATGTGTGATTTAGGGACCCTGTTATAGTTCTCGTGTTATGAAGTTGTGAAGAATACTGCAGATAGGCTGAAGAGATCAGTGTGTAGTGATTGTAAATTGCATAAATCAGAAACAGTGTTATAGTTAATTGTAGTTATGACCTGTAGGTTGCTAATGAAACCAATTACCAATCCAAACCTGCATCTCAGTCGCCTAAACATGTTACAGTATTACTTTAACTTTGTATTGCATTTCTGTAAGAGTTTTTCTCTTGCTGTCAGCACATCCATCTAACCAGCACACTCCATTCCCTGTACATGATAGGCAACAGGAAGTTTACTGTTTTTATTTACTTNGTTGTGAAGAATACTGCAGATAGGCTGAAGAGATTAGTGTGTAGTGTGTAGTGAGGGTAAATTGCATAAATCAGAAACAGTGTTATAGTTAATTGTAGTTATGACCTGTAGGTTGCTAATGAAACCAATTACCAATCCAAACCTGCATCTCAGTCGCCTAAACATGTTACAGTATTACTTTAACTTTGTATTGCATTTCTGTAAGAGTTTTTCTCTTGCTGTCAGCACATCCATCTAACCAGCACACTCCATTCCCTGTACATGATAGGCAACAGGAAGTTTACTGTTTTTATTTACTTATTATATGTCGCTTGCTTCCCACCGCGGTGGCCCGGATTCGATCCTGGGTCTGGTCAAGTGGGATTTGTGGTGGACAATGTGACGCTGGGGTGGGTTTTCTCTGAATACTTTGGTTCCCCCGCCAGTCTTCATTGCACCAAATTCTCCATCATCATAATCACCCAGGGTTAGGTACAATGGGCCAATCAGTGGCCGCTGTGCCGAGTGGACCCAGTTGGACTCCACCCACTAAGCAAATTTTACTTATTATATATTGCATATTCCAGTTGCTTGTTGGCTACATAGAAGATTGTTTAAAGGGTGGAAATCTCATAGAAGAGGTTGGGCTTCATCCAAACACAGCAGGAGAGAGAGGGTTGAAGCTTTTAGTGGTGAGTATATAAAGATATACTATATATAAATATACATATTGTATATTGTTTTGAAACATGATAATGTGTTTCTTGATATAAGCCTTTTCCAAATTAAAACCACCTTAAGTCCTTAATGTCTGATACACTTTGTTTTAAAGGTTGTAGGACTGGATTAGCAAACATTTTGGAATTTGTTGGTAGTCAGACCAATAACATGCTATTATTGTTATGTAATCTCCCCCAAAATAATTTTTATGCATTTTTGATAGTGATATTATTATGCGGGTTGATATAGTCTGTAGCAAAACAGCTTCTACAGTTATGTGATTGGCTTACACATATATACTTATTATGCTGTATGAACTGCTGGAGATATGTAGCATTGAATGAAATATCGTAGGATGTTCATAAATGTAAAACAGGAAGGATGAAAGAGGAAGCTGCCATAGCTAATTTAAGGCATTGGACTATAAGGACAAAGATATTCTGAAAAACCACAGCCTGGATTCAAACAGGATACCTCCCAAATCCAAAGCAGATATGTTTCAGCTATGCTAGTCTGTCCAGGCCAGTAACATAGATGCCATATTACTCTGAATATGAGACAAATCCAGTTTTTAAATGTTGGCTTTAGGAAATAAATTAGAAAGATGCACATTCCTCAAATTTAAGATGCACCTCAATTTTTAACAGGAAAAATGAATGAATGTCTGTCTTAGATTCAGAGTAATGTGGTATGACATATTAGTACTATTCCTATCTTTTTTTTTCCTTTCCAGATGCTGTCTTTTGTGTTTCCTTGTCATTTTCTTCACGAAGATGTTCTTCATCATCTTGCTTCATTTCTTAACATGGAAGATGAAACAGTGGCTCCATTAGTTCTTTCTGTTTTTACCTTCCTTGGCAAATACAAACCAATAGGTAAATGTAACGTTTAAGGTTCCTATATTGTTTTCTCATACAAATGTTATTGATAGTGTATGTATTTTAGATCTTATATTTTAAGGTTTTTTGGACTGTCATAAAACTGGAGGTCAATAGCACTTGACCTCCAGTTTCCTGGATTCACTGGCCGCTCCCCCCTCCCTTAGCACCAACACCATATATGGCCTTAATCGCTCTCCACTGCTCCTATTGGTCCGCTCTCCCTAACCACCCCTTCTGCCTACTTCCTATATAAAGCAGCGCCTTTCACTTCCTAATCATTACAGCTACTGCTCTCTGCATTCACAAGCCATTCACCTGCTCTGAAGATGGAGGAGATACGTTCCTCCAAAATGTCAGCCAAAACAAAGAATACATGGCACCAAAACCCAGAAGACGACTTTCTTCATAGTCATCGCCGTGAAAACCTCAAAACTTACATATCTTTTTAATATTTTAAGACTCTTATATGTTTTAATTACTTTTTTAATATGTTTTTAAAGCAGTATAAAACCACAACCACTTAATCTGTGCATATAAAGGTGATAAATGAAAGGGAAGAAGCACACAATGATAAGTACAATATATGGATCCATTTAGGAAGCATAATTCAATAGTATAATGTCAATATATTGCCTGATGATGGCTCCATGAGCTAAACATATTGTGACATTGTATGACCAGTGATCTCAGTTATACACAGTGAAATGTGAACGAGTTGTTCGAAAGTTGTGTTTGACAGGACAAACAAGACTCATATATGTAGTAGTAGAAATTGCAGTCTCACAGAATACACACTTCTGCAATAAAATTGTGCTCGGTACAGTATAACACACCAGCAAGGAAATAGTACTGTAATAAATATTACTAGTAGAAATATCCATGTTCTGAATACTCCTGCATGTTACAAGTTGGCTTTCCATAGTCTGACACTGTAAAATCACTGCAATTGGTATGCTGCTGTTACAAATTTATGGAAAATCATCTTATTTCACTTCCTCCTCTATCCTTAGGAAGAAGATTTCTATTATGAAGAAAATGTTATTTCTTCTCTCTGCATGGTGGTCTTGCTCATATATCTCATTTTAATATCAATTTGATGTTGTGAAGTCTTAGCTTTCTTAACATGTTCACTGCCATGTACCTGTACTGAAATTTTAACATTTTAACATTTCTCCACAAAAACTGGATCCTTAACTTATTTCATCTGAAATGGAAATGAAATACAACAATTTAAAAATAACTGGCAGTTGCTGCATGTTTCAGCTCCTTAAAGCCTCAGCAATGTACTCTTGCAATTTTTTTGCACTTGATTAACACGTTTAGGAGAAAATGACATTTACTAAGGGTGTTCCATATATAATGCCTCCTATTTTTTTTATTGAAAACTACAACGGATACAGAAATCATAATAATGCAGTTAAATAGAGCAAGATTTCAGCTACTTAAGCTATTTTTCCACATAATCACCATCATTCATTATGCACTTTTGCCATCGATGAACAAGAGCCTGTATGCCGTGCCCATAAAAGTCTGCTCCAGCAAAGGCTAGCCACTTTCTTACAGCTGCAATGACAGCATCGTCTGGAAAACATTGCCCACGTAGTCCGTCTTTCATGGGCCCAAAGAGATGGAAGTCTGAAAGTGCTAAATTGGGGCTATAAGGTGGATGTGGTAGGACAGTCCAGCCAAACTTTGCAATGTGTGCGGTGGTCGCCAAACTGGTATGGGGTTTAGTGTTATCGTGTTGCAAGTGAAAGGTTGTCTGCTTCTCTGGCCTGACTCGGGAAATATGGGCTTTCAGCTTAGTCAGCGTTGTCTTGTAGCGTCCAGAATTGACAGTCCCTGGTCGTTATCTGCTGATCTGTTCAGATGAGGCGCTGTTCATTGTGAGGAGTGGCAGCTGAGCAGGGACGCCCATGGCGTGGCTTGTCGTGCACTTCACTTTCGCCACTGTTGAAACGCACTACCCACCGAATCACTGTGCTGACATCCACTGTGTTGTCTCCGTACACCTTTAGCAAGTGTCGATGGATGTCAATGGGTACAATTTTTTCGGCAGTTAGAAATTCAATAACACATTTCTCTTTCATACACACTTCTATGCCAGGCGCCATTTTGGTAGACTGCTCTGCTGTCGCTATCTCTCACACGACAACCAAATTAACAGTGCATTGGCGGGAAGGTTCAGCCTTTACTACAACACCACCAACATCCAGCTCAGACGTTACATATTAACACAAAAAAATAGGAGGCATTATATACGGAATGCACCACGTATTTACACAGTGGCAACGGATTGTCAGTTGATTGATTGGCACAAGGTAAACCTTAACCTTCCAGGCGATGGGATAGGCAGTGGATACACTTTCATTACTTTACTTGTTGATGCTTCAGGAGAGCTGTTTGGTGATCTCATGCGAGAGTTGGTGCCCATTTGTAAGGAGTTTGCTGTAACAGGTACAGCAAAACAAGCAAAGCAAGCTATCCGTTGCTTGTATGTTAATCTTGCACATGGGCAGGATGCAGTGTTTTCAGAAATATTAGAGGTAAGATAGGTTCTTCTTTTCTTATGGTAGAAACCTCATTTTACTCATATTTTATTTACACTATCACATTTTAGAAAGGTTGACCAAGTGTGCCAGAAGGTTATTTTGCTTCTGCTGTGTTTTGTTCTACATTTCTCTTGGTTTACTGGAACATTATACATTTTTGATGCAACCAAGAATAAGTATTATTAGTAGGGAAATGTGTTAGTTAGAAATCCTATGTTATTTTTAGAGGTATTTTTAAGTAGAGCAGCAACATATAAATGTGAATGGTGTCTTTAAATCATGATTCAGCTACACCTTTAGAGTAGTTAAGATCAGAATTTCCATAAATTTTATGAACACCTCTCCCCTCTTCTGCTGGTGCCTTTCTTTTTATGTCTTGAGAGCCAAAATGACAAATACATTTAAATTTTACACACATATGCTCACACATACTGAAACACATTCCCTCTGGCTATCTCCATATCTGGGCATAGATGTAAGGTTAATATTACACTCTGTTATAAGGTAACAGGACATGAGGATGTGAACCATTTTTTGGAGTACAGAGGAAAAAGGATGTGAGGGTGCAAACTATTTTTTGGAGTACAGATTCTATCTGTTAAATTTGTCAGATTTAATCACAAAGTATTGCACCGTCACCATGTTTCTAATTGTTTTTATAAACAGTATTTCATAAGTAACTGTGCACCTTTAGGTTCCATATAAGACAAAATTCTTGACTGCTTAACCAACTTCAAGCTTCTGTACAGGGGCTCTATTTGGTAGAGTTAGTTTACATTTGCAGCACACATGAAATTTGGATGTACTTAACAATATATTGTTTTATTTATTTTATTTTATACACAACGTGTTTGTATGTGGACAGCTTATAATCATTATTGCTAAACATGTCTACATCCCCAAAATTTTTCCACAGAAACTTAATGAAGTCGCAAATAATCCTGAAATTGTGAAATAAAGAAATAAATATGTCTTTTTTTTTTTTGCCTAACTCTAACACAGTTGTGTTTTATGCATTGAACACATGTACATATGTGTTTAGCACTTCACTGTATTATCACTGTAGGAATCTAAAGATGCCCAAAATGTTATGTGAGAAACGGTGCATATATCCGCCATCACACAGCCTTCTGTAAAACTATTACAAATTATATACAGCATCTTAATATTAGTAGCTACATGTTCTAACCTTTGAGGTCGTCATCAGGTTACATTATATGGCGCTGTTAATTGCATAAGTTGCTAATATTGGCCGATGTATTGGTAAATTTTGTTACTAGATTTATATTTAAAATTTAAAAACTCTTATCTGAAATTAACAAAGTTTTAAAATTGTGATATATATTAAATCATGCTACCCAACAGTTATATTGTAGGGGCACACAGTAGCATAGTTGGTTGAGGCATTATGCTACAAGCCGGAAGGTTACAAGTTCAAGTCCCGATGAGGTCATTGGATTTTTATCAATTGACCTAATCCTTCCAGCTGCACTATGGCCCTGGGATCGACTCAGCCTCTAACAGAAATGAGTACCAGGAATTAATTAAATAATTTTCCTGGGGAGTAAAGCGTGGCCAGCGCATAAAGCTGACAACCTTATGGCCATCTTTGAGCTGATTGTCTGGATACTGTGGGACCCTCAGCGTCTCACAACCCTATGGGCCTTGATGGCCTGTTACAGGGATAGCTTTACTTACTTTACTTACTTACTCAACAATTATAGCACTTTGTATATTTGTGAGTGGACTCTTTTGACCATGTCTCACCCTTCTTACAATGTCTCAAGTTATTTACTGTTGTGAACATTTCATTAGAATACGTTGCAACCTGACAGTGACCTTTTAGGTTGAAACATGTAGCTACTGGCACTAAGATGTAATTTATAATAATAATACAAGATTGTGTGTGGTGGTATGTGTATGTATACTGAGTCAAAGAATACAGCATGATGCTCTAAGTATAATACTGTGTGAGAAGATCACACAAAAATTTAATTTCCTTTAGTAGTTTGTTGGGAATTGTTGCTTTAGTGGAACATTGCCAGAAAGCTGAACATCTGTTGTAAGGCGTTTTGGATGATGAGGATAGTGATAATTGTAACAGGCATTTGTTGACTTACTGTTGCGTAATCTGAGTTTTGGATCAGAATATTGGGAAAAATCAGGATCAAAAAAATTTTGGTGTCAGGAAAGTTAACAGGTTTCCATTTTGGAAACTCGTTGAATATTTTTTTATGTTTTCTGGACAGCTATAATTTTGTGTGTTGATTTGTCTCCATCTTTATGGGAGCAGTGATATTGTTTGTCACAAAAGACAAAGCCATATTTAAAAGTTGTTCTGCTAATACAGTTGTATATTCTGTGAACATACCTGTAACTTCTAAAGTTGATTTCCATCCCAGATCCCATTTAATTGTTTTGAATATTTAACAGTTAAGTGGAAACCATGAATACAAATTTAGTGTTTATTGTCCATTCCTATGAATTTCTTTATTGATGTCATTTTCTCTATGTTTAGTTATGTAAATTGCATTTATTTACTTTTTTGATTTTACATTCACATTACAAACTTTATGCAATTTGTTTCAGAGAATAAAAGAAAATCTTAATCCTAGTTCACAACACTTCAGGACGGCTATTGTTGCTTTGGGGCATATTGCATACAATTTGCCTGACAAATATCCTGTCCACATAAAGAACATAGTCTCTCGGAAGGTAATGTTTATGTTCGAGTCATGTAGTCAGTGGATAATCTTACATTGCATTCTGTTATAACCACATCTCACTTTTAAACTGGTATTTATGATAAAGTAATTTTGACAGTGTGATTGACTGAAATCAATAATGAATGTTAAAGTAACATGACATTGAGATTCCCACAACAGTAATATTAAGATTACTGTTCTAGCCACTCCTTGCTGGTTTAGTTGCTACATTGGTTTGATAGCATGACAGGTACTGCAGCCCTCTGTTGTTGCCTGCTGCTTTCATTATATTCCAGGCTGCTTGTTGGTGATATGGTAATAGTGTCTCTTCTCAGGAGAAGATATAGTCTTAAAAAGTATGTACCTTAAATGTACAGTGTTTGTTTAAACCTTGTTTTTTCTGACATTCTGTGATTATTCAGATTTGTATGCATGAAAGAGCTGTGTTGTTAGTTTGGGCGTGAGGGCTGAAAATTGGATCTGCGGTATAAATAAATACTTGTCCTCAACTATTGCACTAATATTCATAAATGTAGGTGATCTTTGAAGAAAATTCAAATGCCATTCGAAGCTAAAGTAATTTAAATTGGATCAGCGATGCCATGTTGACATGTGTATAGATTGCCATTGTGCATAGTTCATACCCTTACTTTAAGGTAGGTATGTTGGAGTTTCTCATAGTTTGTATAAGGTATGTGATTGAGTATACGTAAGAACTTGAGAATTACAGGAAAAAACATCAGTGTCTGTGCAAAACCTGCATGAGGTTGGCAACACTGGTTTGTGTTTGTGAAAATCATTGTGTTGAAATTATCGTTGTGGGGTAGGAAAGTGAAAAATGTATGGAGATGAAAAAGTTTGATATATTATGTATGAGATAAAAGAGGATGTAATGTTTCATAGGAAAAGCATCATGAAATCACCCACAGTGCTGAAATTCATAGCACAGACTTCAAAGAAATTGCAGATATATAGCAGCATTTTTGTTTGTTCCCAATAGAACAAGTTATTCCTGGCAGAATTTTTAATTTACTTTATAAATATACAAAGTGTACAGTTCATCATCAGACTGGTGCTGTAGTTGATGTGACACTGTTGTAACATAGACCTGCTGCAGTAGCCAGTAATTCATGATTTTTTAGCTGTAGTTTAATTTACTTTATTAGAGAAGAGCCTCGAAGCGACATCCCTCTGCTTAAAGGTAGAACTGCTTGGATTGGTCTTTGGGATGGCCCATTCAAAGATCTGTACCCAGACAGCACAACACACAGAAAAAATGTGACAGACATCCATGCACGAGTTTCAGATCCACAGTTCCAGTGTTCAAGTGGTCAAAGACATTATGCACCTTAGGCCACATGTCTACTGTGATCAACTTAATTTTGTAACCAGTTAATATAAATTTATTGGATAGACGTGAAAATATGAAAGATGTAGTTTATTCTGTAGGTAAGGTACCCCCTTTTGTGCATATACTTTGTGTTTAAGAAGGTACCTGCCTTGTAATATAGTTTTCTCTTAAATCCCATCATACTATCTTGCGGTGGAGTGACTGTAGACAGGGTTTGGATTCATAATTGGATTTATTGAATACATACAAATTATAGCTATAAGTAAGTATAGTGCTATTGCTAATTCACACATTCTGCAGTTCACTACAGCACAGATTGGGTCTTCTTAGTGTACTGCATCTTCACCAGTTATCTGGTGATGGCTCCCAATGCCATAGTTCCCTCAGCTTGTGTGTTCCATGCCTTACGTCCTCACGAGCTGTCACCTATCTCACAAGTAACTCAGCATTGCTACACAGTGACTTCAACAGTGAGGGTTGCTCTACCTTCCATACCTCTTGTCAGGGGTGACTGTCTCACAGCAACTTCAAATTCAGGCTGGTCTGTCTGCCTGCGTATTCTCTCTAGATTTCTGTCTAAACTCTCAACTTCATTTCTCCAGATATAGCCCTCTACAGACCCAACAGAAAACACCACCCCTCTGTTGATGTGGGTGACATGGTATCACGTGTTCCATTATAGCAACACTGTCTGCTTGGCATCAGGCCCTGCTTCCTACAGCTCTCGTATTGTCACATCATGTCACTGAAGACTCAGGCATGACCCCCTGTTGTGTGTAAGAGCGGCCATGGTCACTGACTTGGTAGCCATAGAAATGTGTTTACAGAACTGGTGCCTCTCAGTGGCTGCTTGTACTGATGAAACTGTTTGACTTTCAGCAGACAGGCCACAATATTTTTGTTAAAATCTTTGCATCATACCTCTCTGTCCATGCAATTATGACTGCAGCATTGTGATGCAAACTAATGAGCTGTCTTTTGAGGCAAGATCTGAAAATGAACATATAATACATATTTTCAGTGTTTTTCAAGTGAAAAATCCTGACCCGTGTATGGGTTGCAATGTGCAGTGCCTGGTGTGAAAATGGAAATTTTGAATATAAGTTCCTGGACTAGGTCAAAAAAGAAACGCTGACTTAACTTACTCAATTTTGGCTTCCATCTCCTTCAAAATAGTCTCCTTGGGAACTCATACAGTGATCACATCATTTTTTCCACTCTTCAAAAGCACCATGGAAGTCATTTTTCTTAATGCTGTTGAGTACCACTTGCGATTCCCTTTGGATGTCAGATACTGATTCAAAATGTCATCCCTTCAGTTTAATTTTCAATTTGGGAAAGAAAGCGAAATCACAGGGGCTAAGTCCACCAAGTAGGGAGGATGAGGAATGATAACTGTGTTGTTGTTAGTCACAAACTGTGTGGTTTTCAGGAACGTGTGGGAGGTCACATTGTTGTGATGGAGTCACTTGTGGTTGTGCCAAAGTTCTGGTCTTTTTCGTTATACATTTTCTCTCAAGCGTCTCAGAACGTCACAGTATGAGTAAAAGTAAAGAGTTGAGTGTAGTGTTAGGAGGAACAGATTCAATATGAACAGTCCCTTTCATGTTGAAAAAAACTATGAGCATGCTCTTTTTTGAACTCTGAACCTGCCACACCTTTTTGCTCTTGGTGATTGTAGGGTCTTACACTGTGAGCATTGTTGTTTGTTTCTGGATCATAACCATAAATACAACTTCTGTCACTCATTATGATGCTAGAGATAAAAGTTGGGCCCTCATTAGCCTTCTGTCATAGCTCAAGACACAAGTTTACACAATGCTGCTTTTGATCATTTGTCAAGACTTGGGGATCAAATTTCGTGGCATTGCGGTGCATGTTCAAATTTTCTCTTAAGATCGCCTGGCAAGCTCCATAACTGATCCCAGCAGTGTCTGCAAGCTGATGGATTGTTCAGCGATGGTCTTTGTGGAAGAGTTCTCCAATTTTTTCAACATTTTCTGTCGTTTTGCTGGTGCTTGGTCACCACTCAGAAACTGCTCTGTGACTTAAGGAATGTTCTCCAAATGTCACATGAAGCATTTCAGGAGTTTTGGCAGTAGATTCACTGATCATCATGCAAAACTTAATGCAGACACGTTGCTCGATTTTGCCATCCATCACATACAAAACAAAACACGGAGTCGAAAAAGCTCTCGTGTAAAATAATACATGTTCACAGCGTCATGTCATGTGGTAGACTTGTGCAATAAGGTTGCAGAAGTGTGACCTTGGCCTCCCCTCTTATCTTCTTTCAACAGGCAATTACATAACAATAACAGTCCAGGAACTTTCCCGCACACCTCATGTGTATAAATAAGGTACCTACAGTAATGTGTTAAATTGCGTTGGTAATACCAGTCTAAAATTGTAGCATAGATTCTCATCCTACTCTTAGTGGAAAGGACTCATAACCGGTTCATTGCAGGATCACCTTTCATTATTTTGTGCCTGATTTTTTTAATTAAACTTTCATTTTTATAATTTTCTTTCAGTAACTAATAATAAAATGAATGTAGGTTTATTTTGAGTGTGAATTTAGCTTTGCAGGCCAACTTGTATTTCTTTTCTTTTTTCTTTCAGGTTGTAAAAGAATTGTTGGTGAAAGAGAGTGGAGTTAGTTCAGATCTCTTGGGTAGTGAAGTAGAATGGTGCAGAGAGGAAGAACTGCCTGAAGAAACTCGGTGTAAGGTATGTAACAAGGACCTGATTTTTGTCTGCTGATTGTGGCATGCTGTGTATCTTGAAGACCCTCTTGATTTTCATTAAGGAATGTGAGTGGTGATTGGTGAGCAGGTTTTCTTCAAATTATTTTATGTTTAATGTGGATTTTTTTAAATTAATGTTTGAATTCTGAATAAAGCTGCCTGTTGCCAGTATCTGTTGTATCCATGAGAAATTATGCTTTGGCTAAGTGGTTTCATCTTTTTTTACAGTGAAACCTGTAATTAACCTTTGTTTGGGGGACAAGTTTTATACCTTAAATGGATTTAAATCTGAAACGGGGGTTTTGGAACACAAAAGCCTAAAATGACAGACATCCTCAATTAAGTAATAGCTTAGGAAAATGAAAGTAATTAATAGTAGAACTTACATAAAAATGTACAAAAGAAACATGACAGTTGATTGCTTAAAACATTAATTTCACATACTACAGTTTCAGACAGGGACAATATTACATACAGATTTCCAGAGGGGACATACTGCAATGTTTCAGATTTATCACAGTCATGTATAGTTCTGAATAACACATCATACATTACAAAATATTTATCCCAAAGCAGACACAGAATTACAAAATGTAAATCACACGTTGGAAGTCTGCAAACAAACTTAGGAAGAGAATCTGCAGTCACAGCTGGAAAGAAGAGTATTTATTTTAAAATATGGAAGCTTATATTATATCGCATTAATAAATAAGACTGAATTAAATTGCAGCTATGCATTATGTTGGAAAATGGGAAGTTGCAGTGTCATGTGAGACTATACTATAAATAATGGAGGCATGCATACCCAGCTGGGTTACTGGAAGTAGTTTAGAAGGGCAGTCTGCTCTCTTCGACATATCTGATTGATGAAGAGCAGCTTGCTCTCCAGTTAAGTCAGTCATTACATGCTAGCATCATTAATTTGAAATGAAGTCAACCACTTTTGCACCATCTGAATAACAGCACCTGCCTTAGTAAATGTTGGCATAGGTTGCTCCTCCTATACAACTTGATGCTGCAGTCACAAAATGGAGATGCTATAGAACATTTAGCTTGAGTTCTTATTTTATCTTCATTGCATTTACTGTCTTCTGCACCATTGCTTTTCTGTTCTTGGCCTTCACACAGTTGTAATATAGAGGCTGTAGCATACTGGTGCACTTGGCAAGAAGGAAGGCAACTGTAATGCCTTAGTGGATCAGCTGCACATTTATCCACGAACGTGGTGAGCTTCCTCACAACAGATCAGGGGAATTGCTTTTACCTCTTGAATAATTGTAACTTTCTTGTTTATTGTATGCATTGTTTTCAACGCCACAGCCACTCGTTATTTCAGAATGACTGCCACAAAACAACAGTTCTCACTTTCAGCACAAAGAAACTGCACAGTAACACCATGCACACACTGGCACAAAGACATAGAGGAAGAACAAATAATATGCTGTGCTGTGTGAAAGATGGCCTTGAACAATGCAAGGTTGGCCACATGCAAGTTGAAACACACAAGAAGATTCTCAACACTAAACTGAGATCTGAAATATGCACAAGAGTTGAAATTTCATACATAAAATCTATATAAAACAATAAATTGAGAATGATAATATACTAGATATATGGAACTTAACCTGGGACTTCTAAAAGGTGCACCTTAAATGTGAGAAAACTTAAAATTTGGATCCTGTAAATCAGAATTTCACTGTATATTGGTGGTATGTATGACAGTCAGTAGACCAAATTCAGCTTCATGCAAATTGAACATTAAAATTGAACCGGAAACCCCAGTGCTGTAGAGGTACAGATTATGATGAAATTTAATACTGAAGCTTTTTAATAAAATTAAAATCTAAATTTAATCTTTTCAAATAAGTAATAAACTGAATACACCAAAACCTCTACTCACAATTCTAGAACCTCAAGTTCCTTCATACTGTTTGGCTGCACTTGTGTGGTTAAAATTTTTCGACTCATTTTGTCATATCCAAGTGAATGATTCTGATTGAATGTCTATAGATGGGGCTTGGGATGGTAATTGGATTTATTTCGCACTTATACAGCTCATTACTGCACTTTACAAATCACTGTGGACACACTGAGTCTTCTCAGCCTGCTGTGTCTTCACCAGTCGTTACCTGGTGATGGATCTCAACAATGTCCTCTGCTTCCATGCTCACGTTCTTACTGACTGGTGGGTGTCTCACAGCTGACTCATTGCTCCAACTGTCCTGCTTATAACATTATGGCACGGACTGCACAGAAAGGAACTGTTCCTCTGTTGCTGTATCCATTGTTGCGTTTGCACCCATTTGGATGCCCATGTGATCGCTACTCAGCCATTACATAGCAATGGCTGTTGTTTACAGAGCCATTACTTACCAACAGCTCTTATATAACTGCTTATCTTTCAGTCATTGCCGAACAGTGGGTCCACATGCCACGATACTAATCATAAGAAGACACTGAGGATGATTCTGTAATCATCAAACCACCTTTGTCTATATGTGAATTATTGTAGTTATTGAATGGATGTAATAACGCTTATTGATTGAATGTAATGAAGGCTTGTTGCACCAAATTTCATTGTATCACCATGTAAGGATAATAGCATTCAGAGTGTATTTCAGGTAGGGCTACTCAAATTTCAGCAATATTGTACTGCAGAAATCTGAGAGGTTCAGTTGAAATCTGCCTTAGGGCAATTACCAGATATGTATTTGGCCTAGTCATACAGTCACTGAAAGAAATGAGACAAAATCGTCATGTTCTGCCCTTTTTTAGGAAATACGTAGTCTCTTGCTAAAATTAATGTTGCACAGCCTGCTGCACATTCATGGAATCAGCATGGCTTCAGTGAATTCTTCAGAAGCTCAAAGTTAGCAAAATTGTCCATGTCAAGTTCCCTGGTGATCAAAGGAGATGGTAACCATGGCCATCCTGGCAGATGCTGGAAATTATTTTTCATGATGAGGGATAACATGCATATGTTAATGCTGCATCTCTTCAGCTGTATGCCATAGCTGTTACATTAAGTTTTGTCACAGATAACTTTATTTGCAAATTAATATTGTAGTAATTAGAACTGATGGTAACTGCAATTCAAAAGGGTTCTGAACCAGTTCTGAAAGGTTCTTGTAACCTGTGGTTGTCTGATTCTGATAAACCTCTTTATGACAGTCTAATTCCCGAACTTGTTCAGTCCCAGGTTCCATTTTGGCTGGAAGAGGATGACTTACATTCGCCACTTCACATTCCCATTCTGAGACAGTATCATAGTGAAGATAACAGAAATCCAATGAAAATTGGCAGAAGTTAAATATTCACAATAACATATCCAAATTTTATTTTTGAAGAAATTGGGGACAGACTGAATTCAGGGAATTCTTGCTACCATTCAATTCATAATATTTTACCTTCCCATTTCCTATCTAAAACCCTAAGACTGAAATATATGTAGAAGACTGTACTTTTACCTATTAAAGTGTTTTGCTCCCACAATGGTGTTCAGAGAAATATTGTGGTTTGATGTGTATGAAACATGTTATACTAATGCAGATTATCATGTTATCAGCTTGAAGGACTGAAGACTATGGCACGGTGGCTACTTGGACTGAAAGGTGATGAACTGTCAGCTCAAAAGACTTTCAGAATGTTGAATGCATTCATTGTTAATCAGGGTGACTTGCTTCAACAGGGAAAACTTAGGTATGGTATATGTGTATATGCATGTGTGTTTGCATTATAGAGGTTTTTCTTGTTTTCTAACCTAAGTAATTAATTTGATTCAATTACAGTGAAATATCATTTTTAAGACTGTCTTGAAGGTTAACAATTTAGAACTTTCAAATTAATAAGATCTTAATTTTAACAGATTGAAGTACTGAAACAATTGCTCTGTAACCACAGTAGAATTGAGGTTTAAATAAGAGTAACTCAAGATGACATTCCATTAAAAATTAATTGTAAGGGTCTGTTTGTATTTCCTATATGAATGTAATATAAATATGTTATTTCTTTTAATGTAGTAAAGCAGAACTGGCATGGCTTCGGTTAGGAGCTGGCTGTGCAATGCTTAAAATCTGTGAGCAGAAAGGAGTGGGTGACCAGTTCAATGCAGAGCAGTTTTACCATTTGTCCCTCCTAATGACTGTAAGACTATCACTTTATTATTTGCTCCAACTTATTGTAGTTTTTATAATACAGTGAAACCTGTTTAATGAGGAGTTTTGGCTACATGGAAGTCAGTTTCCCTGGTCCTTGGAATATATAGAAAATCCAAGGTAAAATGACAAGCAATAATTAGAATGTGTGCAACACATGCTTAAAAATAAATAAAGAAAATTCAGCAGAAAATAACATAATTGAATACTATTGTTTTCTGTTTACAAGATTTTGTGTCATAGACAGTCTTCTTTGTCCTCGGCCATTGTGCTCTATAACATATAAGTAAAATGATTAAATTCCGTCAAGTGCAACATTATTCTTTTAATAATAAAGTAGGGCCTTCACATGTTTCAGCAAATAATGGCCATCATTGGAAAGCAGCCAGCACTTCAGAGGAAATACTTCATGCATATTACATGCATGTGTTGCCTTGTAATGTTCAGAACACTAGTATTTAAAATATGTTTTGTTAAAATTAATTGGAATTTTTTTATTAACTATAATTTTGGTATGAATCCTAGTGATGTTCATGTAATATAATAAATTGCTGAGTTTTATATTTGTATTTTCACATATACAGATGCATATTTTATATATTTATGTGCAAAGGTAATATAAGTATATTCATATTGTATTAACTTTTATTTTGTTAGCCAGTAATGATTAATGACTTGCCATACCTTATTGTGTTGCTCCTGTGTCAAATAAAACACAAAGAGAAACGTAATAATAACACCAAAGGCACAAATTGGTGACATTTATATACACAGGAAACTCTATTTGCAAAATTACAATATTATTTAAAAACGTGAACATAATAGCAGCTTTCATAACCACACGGTCAGCAATATACTTAGGAAAACACCTACAACCTACAACCAACAAATACAATCACATGGGGATTTATTAATTAACAAGTGCAGACTGTCACAAATCTTACATAAGTCAACTGGACACTCCTCAAGCATCAAATACAAAAAACATGTTTTGAGTATAAAATGCAACAGGGAGGGCTCCGGGTTCACTGCCAATATTTTAAAAAATACACATCAATATGGGAAAATAGAAGACATTATGGGAACAGTTGATTACTCTAGGAAGAGCTGAAAGTTGAACATAAATGGGAATTTCTACACTTACCTATACAGACACAGTAATACACTAACTTTTAGGCAAGGGCCGCGCCATAGCTCAAGCGGTTAGTTGCTGTCTTCCCACCCCGGCGGCCCAGGTTTGATCCCAGATCTGGCCAAGTGGGATTTGTGGTGGACAAAATGGCACTGGAGTAGGTTTTCTCTGAGTACATTGGTTTCCCCTGCCAGTCTTCATTCCACCAATTGCTCCACAATCACCCTCGCATGTCATCTGAGGCGGGTACAATAGGCCAGAAGTGGCCACAGTACAAGGGACTTAGTCTCACCCCACTAGCAATAAAAAAAACTGGTAGGCAAGATCTAAGGAAAACAGTTGTAGCAATATTATATTTGACACAGCGGGCCAGTACGTGAACACACCCTCATAGAACCACCCACATGCACACAAGCACTCATAGAATCCAAATTACCACGAGACATATGTTTACCGACACGTCACACACAACATCACAACCCCACACATGCACGCACACATGGCAAATCATTAATAATTAGTGGCTAACCTAATAACAAATGTAATATCGAAAATATCTGTTATATTTGCACTAAATATATAAAGTATACATTTTCTATATATGAAGATAATAGCAAATATAGAACTCAGCAATTTATTATAGTTGCAGACAAACTTACTATGAAGGAACACAGCCTTCACTGGGGTTCACAGCAAGATTGTAATTAATCAAAAAATTCCATCACTTTTAACAAAACATATTTTAAATACCAGTGTTTTAACCCTTACAGGACAACACATGCACGTAATACATGTGAAGCATTTCCTTTGAAGTGCTGGTTGCCCACTGATGATGTCCACCATTTGCTTTAAACATGTAAAGGCCTATTTTATTATTAAAAAACGTTATTGCACTTGATGGAATTAAATTATAATTTTACTTGTATGCCTTTTATAACATTCATGTTATAAATGGGAAGGAATTAAGTCCATACACATAATATTTGTGAAATACTGGGAAAAGTGAAGAAGAAAGAAAACTGAAAATGTGAACTGGTCAGTAACAGGGTTGTATACACAGGTAGCATAAATTTCTGGTAGATATTTTGGATAATAAATACATTTGATGTATAGTATTCAGTACATTCTTCAACCAGAAGCAAACACCTGTGTTAGATGGAAAACTGCCTGAAGTATAAACATTTTCAGATGCCATATAAATTCCATTCTAAGCAGGTTTCATTGCATTAAGTTTTTCTAAGTGTTCATTTGCTGTTCCAGTGAATTGATGGCTAATAAAATTGTGACTTAGTTACAGGTCTCACATAATGTAAGGGCAGCATTTAAACTTATAAGTTCATGTTATTCTTGTGTTTTATATTTTATGCAGTGTAATAAATGTTCTTTGATGATTTATATTGACCTCAGTAAGTTCTTGCATATAAATTTAATATAATGAAAAACTTATTCTTAACCGACTTTAATGATCAGCTACCATAGTGCAGTATAATTCTCATTCTTTTAAATCATGTAATTTGATCAGATA